TGTAGGTCTCTTTACTACTAGCAGAGTGAATTTTTAAACCTATTCTGAGATAATTATCTTAGAAATTTTTAGTGTGTCTTTATTTTTTTCTCCAAATTATTATTTCCTCTAATTTAAGGTTGTGGTCTCAAAAATTTTATTTTGATATTAGGATATTATATACTATTTCCACCAAACTAGATTTAAAAAATTTTTGTAATCTATTTTTAACTTATTATGGTCATATAAAATAAGAAAAAGAGTTCAACAGGTTTGGCTTCCAGAGACAGATTCCCTTTTTCTTTCTTCCTTTTTTTAAAAAGATTTATTTATTTATTTATTTACTAAATTTGCTACAGGGTACATGCACTCACCAGAGAGTGACAAAGAAACAGCGAGAGAGGAAAAGCAAGAAAACAAGCTGCTAGGTCCAGAACTTGAACCATGATCAGCCATGAGGAAGTCCGGCACCTTAATCACTACACCACCTACTGGTCCCTAGACTCCCTTTTTCTTTCTTTTTTTTTTTTTTTTAAAGAGGTTTTGCCTTAGGGCACGTGCACTCACGGGAGAGAGACAGACAATGAGAAAGCGAAAAATCACTCTCCCTCCAGGAGGGGGGGATGGCCACGCTGCAATCCCTTCTCCTTCGTTCTTCTCCTGGGATATTGGGCATGCATGCACATGCGCCTGGCGTGATTTTTCAAGCCACCAGATCCGAGACATGAACCACAGTCAAATATGTGGGAGTCCAGTGATGTAATCGCTATGCCATCTTCTGATCCGTGATTCCCTTTTTCTAATTAGACCTCTACTCCTCATAAACTGTCTTCTTGGACAAGCTTCCTAATCTCTCTAAGCCTGAGCTCCCTAATCTATAAAATGATGATACAGAACTACCTTGTGTGACTGTTACAAGGATTAAATAGACTAAAACACATACAAGCACGTAAAGCAATGCCTGATATGGCAACCACTCAGCAAATGATGTATTATTATCATTCTTTCAAATACATATTTTGAATACTTGGCATTGGACAGGAACCAAGGATAGTGTTAATAAGAGCAACATTATAATGGTAAAGACAGAAAATAAACTGGAGAAACCCAAAAAACTAAATAAAGTATTATTTGTATTATATCAATAAATTATTATATTAATTGTACCTACAATTAATAATGCTAAGCCAAAAATGCAAAGAATTAAACCATGGGAACCCCAATGATCATAAAATATTTTAATATAACTTTTAACAATTCCACAGATTTTATTTTAACATTAATTTCTTTTTTCTTTTCTTTTTTTTTTTGCTATAAAGTGCATGGGCTCACTAGAGAGACAAACACAGAGAGAGAGAGAGAGAGAGAAATCACACACACACACACACACACACACACACACCGGGGAGATGGTCACTCTGTAATCCCTTCTTTTCCAGTCTCCTCTCTGGATTTTGGGCATGCACACATGCACTTGGTGTGATTTTCAAGCTGCCAGGTCTGGGACTCAAATTACAGAGTCAGCCATGTGGGATCCGGTGCCTTAACCACCACACCACCTGCTGACCCCAACCCCATAAATTTTATCTTGCATAAATAAAATCCCCATTTATAAATACTCAAATGTGCTTTATTAGACAGCTTCATTTTATAACAATGTTCTAGAATAAGGTAGATAAGACAGAATATTAATAAGTCAGCAATTCATTCAGTAGTAAGAGTAATTTATTCATTCAAAATAAGTCATTTCAATGATAATTTGTTCAATTTAATAAATCCCTTGACTCCTGATAGTAAATGAGTAATGTTACTATTTAAAAATGTGCTCATTCAGTTAATAAACTTTTTTTTTGAGGGAGAAGTGTTTTGTTTTGTTTTGTTCTGTTCTGTTTTCTATGTGTGTGGGCACTTGCCAGAGAGATAGAGAGATGGAAAGCAAGAAATCACTCCCTAGGGGGAATGGCCACACTGCAATCCTTTCTCCTTCATTTCCCCTGCGGGATTTTGGGCAAGCACGCACATGCGCCCAGTGTGTTTTAAGCCCCTGGATACGGGATTTAAACTGCGGTCAACTACATGGGTGTCTAGCAATGCAACTGCAACATCATCTACTGGTCCCTCAATAAACATTTTTTTTTTTTTGGAGAGGTTTTTGCTATAGGGCGCGTGCGCTCGCCAGAGAGAGAGAGAGAGAGACAGAGAGACAGAAAGTGAGGGGCCATCCCAGGGGGGATGGTCACGCTGCAATCTCTTCTCCTCCATTCTCCTCTTGAGATCTTGGGCATGCACGCACACATGCCCGGTGTGAGTTTTAAGCCACCGGGTACAGGACGCGAACCGCAGTCGATTACGTGGGAGTCCAGCGACACAGCCATTATGCTAACTGCTGGTCCCTCAATAAGCTTTTATTAAGGGTCTACACAGCAGATACGGCTCTAAGCATTGGATAATAAATATGAGCCGAAAATAGGTCTACTTCCTAAGAAGCTTATGACTAGCAAAGAGAAGATAATTATATGACTTTTAAAAAATTTACCATGCTGCAATAAAGAACTGTAATTATGATGGAAGTATAAAATAGGACATACGGGCCAGAAGGTGGCATAGTGGTTAAGATGCTGGACTCCCATGTGGCTGACCATGGTTCAAATCCTTGACCTGGTGGCTTGAAACTCACACTGGGTGTGTGTGCATGTGTGCCCCCAAATCATCAGAGGAGAATTGAAAAGAAGGGACTGTAGCATGGCCATCCCCCGGGCGATGATTTCTTTTCAGTCTCTGTCTCTCCAGTGGGTATATATGCCCCATAGCAACAATCTCTCAAAAAGAGAAAAGTGGATATAAAGGAAGAAGTAGAGTATTTTTAGGGATTTTATTGATTTATACATTCATTCGTCAAACATAATATAGTGATTAATATTATTAACATTTATTATTTGTTAATATTAACTGCAACTATTAAGTTAATTCTAACAACTTACTACATGCCAGGAACTGTTCAGGCAAAGAGTATCAAAGTAAACAAAACAATGAAAATTCCTGTGTGCATGTGGCTTACCTTTCAATAGGATGAGACAACCAGTAAACATATAGAGAAGTAAACAGTATGTTGTTTATGATTGGTAAACACAAAGCACAACAAAAGTACACAGGGTGCAAAGAGTATGGGAGTCTAAATAAAATTTGCCTAGTTCTGAAACCTACCGCTCAAGAGTCTGTTTATTTTTGTTGTTGTTCTTTTTAATCTTTCTTTTAAGCATAGTGAGTATTTTCCTTTCTCAGATGTTTTTTTCTGATAAATTCTGACTACACTTTGGACATGAGTTCTTTTTTAAAGAAGGTGATGAAATTGTACTAATCTATTATATATTACATCAACCTTTTTAAAAAGACTGATTGTCAGGCCAGGCAGTGGCATGGTGATCAAGGCAGCTGGATCCCATATGGCTGAATGGCTATTTGAGTCTGGTACCTGGTGGAACATGTGGGAGCATGCCCAAAATCCCAAAAAGAGAATGGAAAAGGGACTACGAGGTGGTCATCACCCCTGGAGGTGTTTTCTCACTTTCTCACTTATTTTCTCTTCCTTTCTCTCCCTCTCTCACTTCCAGGAAAGCATACACACTCTATCAGTCCCCTTTCCCCCAAAAAAAGCCTGATTGCCAATTTATTTAATGGCATTCACAGATGCCACTGGCAAGCAGGACAAAGCTGATAAAAATGGAAAACAGAGAAAAAGACGAGTCATAAAACAGAAAAGAGAAGGAGGAAAACAAAATTATAACAGGATGCGGTGAGATCACTGACCGGCTTGCACTGCTCTTCTGGCTTCAGCATCCTGGAGCTGACCACTCTGAGATGGCCCCAAATAACCCACTGTGGCTGGCAGTAGGTCCTCCTGAGCCAACACACTTTATAATAAAAATAGTTGGTTTAAAGTATTCAAGTGACCTATGCCATTGTGCATCACTTTCCTTCCCTCCTAACTGAGCAAAAGTATTCCATCTAAACCTATACATTGTTATTCTTGGAGGGCAAATCCTCTCAATGTCTGGGTCACAAGTTAGTTACAAATTTCTTTTTTTTTTTTTTTGGTGAGGTTTTTGTATAGGGCGCTTGCTCACCAGAAAGAGAGAGAGACAGAGAGACAGAAAGTGAGAAATCACCCCCAGGGGGGTTGGCCACGCCACAATCCCTTCTCCTCCAGGGATCTTGGGCACGCACGCACACACGCCCGGCATGAGTTTAAGCCACGGGTCTGGAACTCCAACCTAGGTCGACTACGTGGGAGTCCAGTGACATAGCCATTACGCCAACTGCTGGTCCCGAGCTAGTTAAAATCTGACAACAATCTTCTATTATCTAAAACGCAAAGCACCAGGTTTCCATTCCAGGTAGCTCAGGGCAGCATCCCTACCTCTTTGCTCTGGAACTAGAGGCTAAGGCCCATTTCTCCCTAGAGAATTTGCAGGAACTTTCTACAGATTTGAATCCAGCATTAAAATGCACATATACATACTACAGTACATACAAGTGTCACGCGTCTGTGAATACGCTCTGGTTCCATGGGAAGCAAGAACACAGGCCTTGCCTTCCTGACGCTTCCAGGTTCGGGGAGACACAGACAAATGAGAACAGACTTACCGACGTAAACACCAGGAAAGAGGTGACAGGCGGTTTCTCTGACAGTAGTGAGGCCTCCTAACCAACTAGGCAAAAAGGGCGGGAAATGCATTCCAGGCGGCGGGCCCAACATCTTTCTGGCTATATTATCCCTTAACAGAGTCCTACAGCCTCACATTTCGTTTGCTGAGTCTCCCAGCGAGGAAAGCAAGAAACATTAATTCACCCTGGCATGGAGGAGGCTTGTTTCGGGCTTTTAGTTTAGATGCCAGTGCCTGTCTTCAATCCCCAGAGAGCGCCTCGGCCACTGCGCAGCTTGCCTTGGTGTTCTCGCGAGACCCGCAAGCCCTTAGGCTCCCCCGGGGGCACGTGGGCTCATGCTGCCCGGTCGGCGCAGGCGCGGAGAGGAGCAAAGCAAAGCACCGCAGGGCGGGTTAGGGTAGGCAGACAGCCGTTGTGGAGCGCAGAGGGACTGGCTGGGGTTGAGGCTGGGGCTCCGGAATGCCTCAGCTAGTCTGCTGGTGTCTGCTGTGGCTCTGGTTTCTCGTTCGGTTCTCCTGTGAGCTGAACGACATCAGCACAGCCAGAAAGCTGTGTGGCAGGCACCTGCTGAAGGAAATACTGACACTTTGTGGTCATGATGACTGGAGCCAGTTCCACTTGGAGGAGGAAATCCCTTTCGCACACATGATGTCCCGAGATTCAGAGAAGGTTGAAGCCTTCCTGCCTGATGAATTTGAAAGCTCCCAGACTCCTTTCATGATCTGGGAGAGAGGCACACACCCAGGTAATAATCTGAGCCAAAGGCATGTTTGTTGTCTGTATACATTTCTTATCCCTGAATTTGCTCCATCAGAAGATGAGCTTTCTTAGGTAATGAAATTTGTGCCTAATACAGAGGTAAATTTAAAAAAATAATAATAATTTAAAGTCAGTATAGTGAGGATATACAAAACCTCTATGAAGCTTTTTTTCCCCTTTTAATTTAGAGGAAATAACTGTATACATGTAAGTCTACACATGTATGTAAGAATACTATTTCTTCCCTAACTTTGCCTTTCTGGAGTGCCTTTGTCATCTGGCAAACACTTTCTGTCCTTCAAAGCCCTGCTTAGAGATACCATTTTCCATGTGAAGTTATCACTGACCTTTTCAGAGCCAATCCCTCTGTTCTCTGTTCTACTGCATTATCCAGCAAATATGTAAGGTCTCAAAAAATTTTATGAAAAAACCATGCATGGGTTTCCATTTGGGGGGGGCATCAAAATGAACTCATACTTTAATTCCATTTTTTCCAAGACCTTTTTTATTTTTTGAAAGAAGATTTTTGCTATAGGGCACATGTGCTTGTCAGAGAGACAAGAGACAAAGTAAGAAATCACCACCCAGAAGGGTTGACCACACTGCAGTCCTTTCTACTCCATTCTCCTCTTGGGATTTCAGGCACACATGTACCACTGCTGGGTTTGTGGGATTCAAACTATGGTCAAGCACTTGGGAGTCCAGCACTCAACCACTACACCACCTGCTGGGCCCTCCAAAAACATTTTGAAGTCCACTTGTAGTTCTATTTGACTACCATCAAGACTGGTTACATTAGTGAACCAACCCAGTATAAGATAAAAATGCAGGGCCCTGTGTTCAAAAAGCAGTAAAGCACCATTAAAGCTATAAAATACAAAGTTTTTGTCCTTTCTTAATTCTTCTATTCACACACATGCCATTCACTCATCAGACTTCACTTAAAAGTCCACATACTTGCACTTCACTTGCAAGTTCAAAGACAACATTATTGAGAATTTTAAGACTGTGGCAGCAACATTTAAACCAAATTCAGGACTTGTGTGACTGCACAAATCTCAATGTCAAAAAGCCAACTCTGCAAACCATACCATATCAACGAGGGTGGTCTCATACGAGTTATTATCTGAAATGATTAGCACAGGGCTAGCACATAATATGTGCTTAATGTATATCACATTATATTTAATGCTTTCAGGCACTCTTTTTTATTTACTTATTTTTTTGAGATGTTTTTGCTATAGGGTGTATGTACCTGTCGGAGAGACACACAGAGAGAGAGAGAGGGTTCAGAGCCAATCCCTCTGTTCTCTGTTCTACTGCATTATCCAGCAAATATGTAAGGTCTCAAAAAATTTTATGAAAAAACCATGCATGGGTTTCCATTTGGGGGGGGCATCAAAATGAACTCATACTTTAATTCCATTTTTTCCAAGACCTTTTTTATTTTTTGAAAGAAGATTTTTGCTATAGGGCACATGTGCTTGTCAGAGAGACAAGAGACAAAGTAAGAAATCACCACCCAGAAGGGTTGACCACACTGCAGTCCTTTCTACTCCATTCTCCTCTTGGGATTTCAGGCACACATGTACCACTGCTGGGTTTGTGGGATTCAAACTATGGTCAAGCACTTGGGAGTCCAGCACTCAACCACTACACCACCTGCTGGGCCCTCCAAAAACATTTTGAAGTCCACTTGTAGTTCTATTTGACTACCATCAAGACTGGTTACATTAGTGAACCAACCCAGTATAAGATAAAAATGCAGGGCCCTGTGTTCAAAAAGCAGTAAAGCACCATTAAAGCTATAAAATACAAAGTTTTTGTCCTTTCTTAATTCTTCTATTCACACACATGCCATTCACTCATCAGACTTCACTTAAAAGTCCACATACTTGCACTTCACTTGCAAGTTCAAAGACAACATTATTGAGAATTTTAAGACTGTGGCAGCAACATTTAAACCAAATTCAGGACTTGTGTGACTGCACAAATCTCAATGTCAAAAAGCCAACTCTGCAAACCATACCATATCAACGAGGGTGGTCTCATACGAGTTATTATCTGAAATGATTAGCACAGGGCTAGCACATAATATGTGCTTAATGTATATCACATTATATTTAATGCTTTCAGGCACTCTTTTTTATTTACTTATTTTTTTGAGATGTTTTTGCTATAGGGTGTATGTACCTGTCGGAGAGACACACAGAGAGAGAGAGAGGGAGAGAGAGAGAAAGTGAGAAATCACCCTCCAGGGGGATGGCAACACCACAATCCCTTCTCTTTCATTCTCCTTCCAGGATTTTGGGCACACATGCACATGTGCCTGGTGTGAGTTTCAAGCCACTGGGTCTGGGATTCAAACTGGTCAGCCATGTGGTAGTCTAGCACCTTAACCACTATACCACCTGCTGGCTTCTCAAGCACTGTTTAAGAGGGATATTTTTGTTTCAGACCCTTAAGTTATCTTCCAACGATGTTTTTACACTTTGTGATTAACACATTTTAGTCCCAATATAATTGCTATTTCAAAAAATGCACTTTGTTTATATCTATCCATTACACACTGTCTTTGAAATTGTTTAAAGTAATTCAGTTGATTTAATTTGAACAAATCTTACAGAAGTCAAGATTCTGAAACTAAGGAAATGAGTAGATTATGCCAGAAAAGAGACCCTAATGCAGATAACTGAGGCAAACCACAACAGTACGTAGTACATTGTAGGCACTCATTAACTTATTTAAAATCAGCCAATGAATGAATAAATAAATGAAACTCATAAAATTATCACTACTAAAGGAATGAAAACTTTTTTTTTTTTTGGAGAGATTTTCGCTATAGGGCGTGTGCACTCACCAGACAGACAGAGAGAGACATACAGACAGAAAGTGAGAAATCACCCCCCAGGGGGGATGGTCACGCCGCAATCCCTTCTCCTCCA